ACACTCCAGACTGTCAGTGAGTGCTTACATATCTTTTCAGGCAGTCCTGAAAACCCTAACAAATCCCAAACTGCAAACCTGCTAAGTTTCCTTCTAAAGCTCTGTATTTGCCTTGAGGAAAACAGGAGTGTTTATCGTGATCCTGAGGATAAACATCAAGATATCTCCAAGCCAGTTGTGCAATGGCATTTCTGGGAAGCTTGTGCTGCTGGGACACAAAATGTCCTTCTGAAGTGGCCCAGAGTACCCCACAGAACAGACCACTAATTCTACATGGAGGAGACAGGGGCCAGGGTGGGTACAAAGGCTAAACACCAGTTTTCCATGGGAAATTCTGCAAATTTGCCTTCCCTCTGGCACTTATTTCCCATAAAAATCAACTCATCTGCACAATTCCCACTCAACTTTGGCATGCTGCTTTGTCTCACTCTGGCAGGTTACTTTTTTTCTCCTTTTCTCCCTTGTGGTAAAATGGGAAAAAAAAGCAGAAAGGCTAAAAATAACCCTTAAAATAAACTTGAAGGTGTTCAAACCCCAAACTATTTCATAGCAAACAAAGCACTACTAGAGGAAAAATAGACTATTTTTCATCAAGTGCCTTGACAGAAAGTATTTGATGCAAACCATCCTTGGCTTTAGAAAGATTAGTGTCTCACAAAGAGTGTTAACACTGATATTCCACCAGATAGCAACTCAGTTATGTCTGGCTCCTTTGAATTCCCCCTGGAGTGACAAATGGATATGCTGCTTCTCTTTACTCCCTTTCTTAGGTATTCCCAGAGCAGTTTTCTCTTAAAGATCTCTTTGGCCTGTCCTATAATTAAGTTCACACTACTGTAACAGGCTGAATCTTGCATGAGGTTGATGTTTCCTTGTTTGCTTTTGGAGTTTGTGAGAGAAATGATTATCAGTGACATGAGGCTGTCCTTGGGACAATATTGTGAGCTAAATACAAGTTACCTACATTCCTTTGAAATCCAGTGAGAGACAAGGTGAAATCAAAGGCTGAAAAGACACAAAACCCCTTTTCACAGCTACAGATTCTTATTTTACTCTACTCCTGAGCCAAGGCTCTGGTTAAGTGCTGTAAAAACATGGGGCAAAGCCCACCAAGCTTCTAAGTACACCATGAAACAAAGACAAGGAGAAATCAGAGAAAATTAGGATATATTAAGTGTATTATGTGCTGTTAGTTAGGAGAAATCGGAGAAAATTAGGAGATATTAAGTGTATTATGTGCTGTTAGTTATCTCTGAGAATCACCTTCTGATTTATACTATTCTGTGACAGTCTCTGAGTCTTAGAATCATGGAATCATCAAGGCTGGAAGAGACCTCTAAGATCGTCAAGATCATTAACCTGTCACTGCAGGAACCTCTAAACCAGATCCTCCAGTGCCAGATCCAGATACCTCTTAAACACCTCCAGGGATGGTGACTCCACCACCTCCCTGGGCAATATTCCACTGCCTGAACACCCTCACAGGGAAAACATTTCTCCTGACATCTAAGAAACTTGGGAATACCTGGAAAAATCAGGAGAAATAAGATCTATCAGGTTGCTTAGAACAGTCTTTGCTTTTTCCTGGTTCCAAGCAGAAACATTTCAGTGGAGTGTAAACCCCACCGAGATCAGGAGTGCTGTTTGAAACACCAACACTGCAGTGGTTCTTGGCTTAGCTGGAGCATGGGACAGGGAGGGTTTAGGGAGCAGGATCTCAGGGAGATGAGATAGGACACACTGCAGGTTGTCAGTGCTCCCAGAGCAGGAGAAGACCAGAGTCACACACTGGAGCACAGCCCCAGGCTGACCTAGCGCTGCTGAACGCTGTGGAGCTGCTCCCAGATCATCTCCAATTTCCCAGCCACAAGTCTGGTGAATACCTGGGCAGTGTGTGCTGTCAGAGCCGATCGCTCATGCCAACAGGCACTGGAAGGATCTGCACCATAACCTTTCTCCCAGTGCAGTGAGACAGTCGGAGCCTGAGCGTGGGATGCAGCAACTGCAAACCCCTGGGACAGAGCTGTAAGAGACTCCTTGACCTCAGAGCTTAGAGGGCAAAGCTCAGCTACATCCAGACAGAAGGTATTTCTGCTGGCACAGCTGTACCCACTCTAGCAGTACCAGCCCAGGGTAACACACCAGTTCACCACACTGAGCACATCTTGGCCAGGTAATCACACATCACATTTCACATACAACCCCCAACACTAATGTAAAAGTTTACTGCCAATAGCACTGAACCTTTACATTATTGCAATTGGAGTGGAATGGAAATTGGAGTGCAAAGGTATAAAAAAAGTGGGTTTTTTTCCTTTTCCAGAGGACCATTCCCATCCTTGTTCTTTAAGAAGCAATGCAAGTTGGATATTGGTTATATATAGACACATTTAATTATCTGCTCTAAGTCTGGAAAGCAAAGAATACCTATCACACAAATTAGAACACTCTTGTTTGTCTTGAGGCTCCATTAATTTCTCTAGATTAATTTCTTCACCATTCACCTCCACAAAGGTGGGTGAGTGATTTGCTTTGGCACATATAGTGCTTGGAATATCCTGATGCCATCAGTTTCTGAAGGGCAGAGCACATAGATAAGCCAACAAGTGAAGGAAAAGCACATAATAGCAGTGCCAAAGCCAGGCATGCCAACATCTCCTGCAAACAGATTAGATTACAAGAAAATTAGCTTTTTACTTGAATGGAAGGCACGTTAAAAATATTCACTGTTGACTTGGAGGGGGTAAAAAGACAGAGAAGATTTCCAGCCCCTGAAAACTCAAAGTAATTCAGTAAAACTTTTACATGGAACAATTGAAATGTGTCATTTTTCCTTATTGGACACATTTAATCCTTCTTCAATTTTCTACCATTTGACTGGCTGAAAAAGGCAAAGTTCCATTAGGAAGTTTTTACACTTCGAAGTAAGTTGTAACAAATATTTCCCAGCCTCGTTGTATTCAGGAGGATTAAGGAACAGGCAACCACAATATTTTCTTTCTTTTCCCTGGAACTTGCTTTTAATATTGGTGAACGAAGCTGTACACAGAGCAGAAAGACCTAGTCATCTGTTGGCAAAACAGGTAAAGCACAGACAAGACAAAGCATAGCTCAGTAACCAATGTAGGACCAGGAAACAAACCATTCCAATAAGACAAAGTACAGTTCAGTGACCAGTGTAGGACCAGGAAACAAACCATTCCAAGTTTTCCCATGAGTTTTGGGAAGTCACTCATCCTCCCTTCACCAGTGCTATGACAACTCTCACAGAGAGGCTGAGGAACCTGAGTCCCAGGTGAGGGCACGAGCTCCTGAAGGCAAAGTGTCTTTTGTTTTGTGTTCCTATCACAGTGGAGATGCCACAGACAGATCGATAAAGCCGATTGTGTTTAAGAGATAAAAGCAGCAAAGGTAACTTGGCATTACATTACAGCCCAAACCACCTTTTATCTGTGGCAACAGTTTACTCCTTTTGCTCCAAGCCTTCAACCTGTGGGAACATTCAGCAGCTGAATGGGATCCAAGACTGCAGTTCCCCTTTGTCTCCATCAGCAAAGGTTAGCAACCTTCTGTCTCCCTGATATCCACAGATTCACTTTCTTGACCATCCCTGCAGGGCTGATCAGCCCAAACACCTCTGGCAGAAGTCTACCTGGTCCTACCCTTGTGTCTCACCTCCTGGAGTCATCTTTAAACACTCTCTCTCCACCAGAGTGAGACACCAAAGGCCAAAGTAGATGTACAGGGGGAACCAACTGCTGCCTGCACTCCCCTGCAGCTTCTCCAGCACATCCAAGCCCCCCTGTCACATCCCTATGGACAAGACCTTTGCTAACAGCAATCCTTGAGCCAACACCTTTTCTGCAATTCATTCAGCAGCCTTATCCATGCTTTCAGGTATGGAAGAATCTGTCTAGTCCACATTCTACACCTGGGAGACCTAAGGAACTGTGCTGTTCCCCCCTCGCAACACTTCTTTATAGCTGTTTAAAACCTCTATCTGCCTGTGTCCAGCCACAGAAACCCACCCCCATCCTGTGGGGCTCAACCCCTCCCAGGGAATCAGAGACCTATCAACTCTTTCACACTTGTACCCGTGTTCTTGGGGCAGAGGAAGCCCCAGAATTCACAGCCTTTGCCCATCCACCCCAGATTTCAGTGTGTGTGCCTGTCAGCACGACGTGGTGAGCAGAACAGAGACAGCAGCTCACTCATCACATTACAGTGCCTCTGGAGGTGCAGAAACCCAGGCTGCTTCTGAGTCAGTCCTGGAGACAAGCCCCTCACAGACCTCAGGGCTGCAAACTCTTTTCTCCACAGGCTTGAACAAACAGCTCTCCAGCCCTTCTGCCTTCACTCTCCTTTAAGGTCTCCTTTCCCCTTCTCTGCTCATCTCCCATCCAACACTCAGCCTCTACCTCTTCTCCTTCCCTTCCTTCAGCAGCCTTTTCTTCCCTTTCTTTGCTTCCCCCTTCATGTCCCTTCTCCCATCCTTTTCTCCCCCAGTTCCTCCCTCTTGCACTTCAGCACATCTGTTTCTAATCTTAGCCATCAATTGGCAACAATAACCCCTTTTTATTTTCCCATCTGAACGCTGAATGCCCAAGCAAATCGCAACAGAGTTAACCAAATTTGACACTATGCCTGAAACAAAGACATTTTGTTCACCTTGTTTAGCCCAAGAGGTTCAAACCCCTCACTTAGTTCATCGCTTAAAAGTGCTGCTGCCTTTAAACAAGAAATGCTACTAAATGAGTCTGTTTAACCACCACTTCTGAAATTCATGTGGCTGTTCAGAGATCTTTGCCTATCAACCTGCTAACAAAGCGACAAGAAAAGCATCAGAAGCCAAACACTATTGAAATTAGTTTTCTATAAAGTTTTTCCCTTCACAAACCATTTTTTGATCCAGCTCATCAAGAACAATTTTCAGTCACAAAGCCACGGGGGAAGTTTGATGATAAAACTAAACAAAACCAAAAAGAAAAAGATTAACTTACCTAAAAAGAGAATTGGAAGTGCAGACATTCCGTCTCCAAGCAAGAGGGACTTTTCCTCCCTTTTCCTTCTCTTCTCCCAGGAACAGCAGGCAGACCTGCCCAGGATTCAAAGAAACGCCTCTGGAATGCACTGAGTGCAATTGCATCCATGTGCCAGAAAAAGAACCAACTTCACTCTTTCTTCCCTCCTGCTATTCATCTCCTTGTCCATATTCCATCCGGATTCAGCGAGAGCTTTCGGCTCTGCTGCAGCTGCTGCTTCAGGCCCAGGAGTTTGGGGAGGGGAAGAGGCAGTGCAGGAGGAGTTCACATCTACGGCAGCAAAGACCAATTTTGCTCGTCTGAAAAGGAGAGAAGCAGAGCAAAACACTGTGCTCAATGTTCACCACATGGCTGCCTCCCACTGGAGCCCCTCCCTGCCATCAGCTGGGATTAATAGTGAAGACCAGTCATGTGGGTGAGGTACAGCTCATTTCTAGCAAGATAAATATATAGATTGATTTACCTTCCAAGGAGGAACATGAAAATTTCTCTCGTGGCCAAATAGTTAAGTTTGGAGGCTGTAAAAATCCAGCCTGGAAAAAAAAAAAATAAAAAATCAGATTCGTCACTCAAGGGCTAGAAAGAGACTCTAAAACAACCACACACACTCGTCAGAGGGATAAACACATCTATATGCTAGCTCCGTTCTCTTTTCTAGGGAATAAACTGTAGGGTTTTTAGTTTTACAGGAATATTTTCCCTGTTTTCTTCCTGGGTTTCTTTTGGAGTTTCTAGGAGGGGAAAAAATTCCTACAGATGGGTTTAATTTGGCTTCTTAGCTGTGCTTCACTGAGGAGAGAAAAAGGCAAATCAGGCAGAAATTGATTGTCTACATTTAGTGGCTGCTATGAGGTGCAACTTATAACTCAGTCCCAAAGGCCATTTTAAGGCAGCCCCAAAACCCTTTTCCAGCCCCTGTTCAGTTTCCCCCAAGTGCAGCCAGCAAAAGAGAAGGTTTGCAGTGTTACCTCAGATACTCCACTCCATCCTCTCGGGGCAATGTCCATCATACCCAGCAGAAGGCAAATCAAATGCTTTGATCCATCTTGGGGTGGAAGGAAAGCTCTGGAAGGCAGAACAGAAATTCTTCCCCTTAGGAACACTTATGAAAGGACTTCCAAGCCCTGAGGGGAAGAGCAAAGCATACACAAGTTTGCCAACCCATGGTTTGAAGCTCCAGTTTGAAGCTCTCTCATTAGCTCCCTGCGTAACTCCATCTGCACATACACATTCTATAGACTTCCCCCATAAAATTAGGGATCATATGCTGCTCTGCCTCTTCAGGGATGAGCACAAATCCCGTGCAGAGCCAGCAGTTGGGCTCAATGAGCCTTGTGGACCCTCCAGCTCAAGATATTCTGTGATTCTAGGAAGCAAACCAATATTTATGGAGCTCACAGTGAGGGGCACAACACTTGGAAGCTCTACAGGAATTTGTACCTAATCTGTTCATGACCTTAGAGCTTTACAAACATATATAGGCAGACAAGAAACTGCTTCCCATGCCAAAAATCAAAGCTCGGATTCAGGTAGATGCCATTAGGGAGAATAAAAGGATAAAAATCATCCTTCTGCAGGCAATTTCATTAAAGTTTTACTTGCCCATCCCAGGCTCAGATGGAGACAAGAGCAACATTTGGCTCCTCCTCTCCAAAACAGCTGTTCTGTCTGTAACAGAATGTTTTAAACAGCATAGTCATCTCAAACAGGCTGATGATACAAAAATCAATCATTATTAGGCGACTACAACAGCTTCTACAGAGCAGTTTGCTCTATCCCATCTCCCCATACCCTAAGACCCAATTCCTTCAGAACTTCTGCCCACACACTTGACTGAACTGGTTCCCAGCTCTGAGTGGATCTGCAAACACCATTGATTTTCAGTGCAGGACATGAATCAATGGAGAAAAGTGCATTTCATCCCTCCCCCCTCTCTCTCTCACTCTCTCTCCAGAAGCCAAGCAGCACTGAGCTTGTCTCTCTGCATTACAAGTCTGACAGAAGATGTCCCAAGCTCTGCTGCAAACTCCCAGCATGCTGCTTGGCTTTAATAGAACCAATGCATCAGAAACCAAGGCAGGGAGAAGTGTTGGCACCCTGCACTCCCTGCCCAGCCTCCACGGAGCTGGGATGTGCAGAGGAGGAGGAGGAGGGGGATGTGAAGGATGAAAAAGGAGACCATGCATGCAAAATCTCCTCTTCATCCTCTCAGACAAGCTATGCCACAGCCTGTTCACATCACCTCCAGCACCTTCAGGAAGCTCCTCAGAGCAAGTTCTGCTTTGGGGTACAGTGGGGACTCTCCCCTTGGAGTTAGTACCTGTTGTGGCAAAGTACTTTGTGTAGTTCAGTAAGGGCTGGAGTGAGTCCATTTAAGGACACTCATCCCACTCAACACCAGCACATCCTTTCAAGACCTTTGCTGGTTGTGTTTGGGGAATAGCTCTCATCTGCTGCACATTATTCTTCTAGAAAGAGCAGATTCTTCCAGTAGGTTTGTGTCTGCTCTCACCTGGTACCATACAGCACCAGCACAGCATGGAAGAGATGTATCTGCACTTCTCAGCAGGGAGAGCAGTGAATGAGACAAATTGATGGCTGAGCTCACAAGCATTAGGGAAAAAGGTTTCCTAAACAAACCTTTACAAACCAAGTGAAGTTCTCAGGGTTCCTCTACTGCTGCTGACAGACCCTGACTGCTCAGCCCGGAGCAGGTTCTAATTAAACCACTGTTATACAAACCTCATGGTCACAGAACAGCTCTTTGTGGTCTTCCCTGTTGCTGTCTCAGTTTCAAGCCCCTGGACAGTCAGATGATCAATCCTTTCAGGAGACACTCTTAAATCTGACCATCCCAAGAACCTGCCCAACCTTTCCTAGCTTGCTCTTGAACCTCACCTAGTAGAAACAAATGGGAGGAAGCAAACTCTCTAACCCCTACTGATTTTTTGTGTATCAAGTTATTCCTTTCACCTTGTTCTTCCTCCACTGTGAAAACTACTCCTTGAGATGTAGCTGTCCCTCAGTGCTGCAGAGCTCTACACTATCTTCTTAACCCTGACCCTAACTCCTGCCCAGCAGCAGTTGTAGTGTCCTCATCTCTCAAAACACATCCAGAAGCCACATATTCCTCCAGAACTGTTATGCTATAGCAGTGACACAACTTATTGCTACTCAGCTACACTCTGCATTGATTCTTTATTTAGTCTGTTCTCCAAGACTCCCAATACAAACTTATTTCACACAGCTTAAATGATTTAAGCAGCTTATTGCTTACAGCCACTAGAAGAAAAGAGTTCATTCTTCAGGAGAACTCGAGGAGCACTTTGAATCTGAATCTCTTGAGTAAAACCACTTTTTGTTTAGTTTTTGGCTTTACAAGTGCACAAAAATTGATGACAAAAAAATGCTCTGATAAAGGAAAACTAAACCTTGCAAACAAACCAGTCCCTGAACAAGGAATCCAAACAGATAACAAGGAATGTTTGGGTAGAAAACTCAAACCCTTCACACAGATTTCCTTTCACAATAAGCCACTGGAGGAAAGGCTGATTTAGGCTGTACTGGGGCTCAGACATTGCCCTATAAACCAGTTGTTATTTAAGAAGCTCATCTCAAGCAGGCTTCAATAATTGATCATAAAAGCACTATTAGTCATTTAGTATTAGTAAAAAAATCTCACTTCAACAAGGACTAGCACTCCCAGTGTCAGGAAAAGTGACTGAGAGAAAAAAAAAAAGCAACTTAAAAGCTCCTTGAAGCTCCAGCTCAGAGCCTCAGCCCACAGAGCTCTTACTCCAATATTTATGCCTGATTTACAGGAAAACACCCTTATTACTATTTTTTGAAACCTTATTTCCTTTGTGAGCCTATAACTCCACTCAAAGGCAAAGTAAATATTTCCTCACACACAGCAACAGCATTTTGAGCCTTTACTAACTTTATGCAAAAAAAAAAGCAGCAACTTAAAAGCTCCTTGAAGCTCCAGCTCAGAGCCTCAGCCCACAGAGCTCTTACTCCAATATTTATGCCTGATTTACAGGAAAACACCCTTATTACTATTTTTTGAAACCTTATTTCCTTTGTGAGCCTATAACTCCACTCAAAGGCAAAGTAAATATTTCCTCACACACAGCAACAGCATTTTGAGCCTTTACTAACTTTATGCTGATGCTACAAAAGCAAAGAACTGAGCACAAACTGCTCACACTGCATTATTGATTGGGTACTAGAAGGCAAATCAGGTCATGATTTCAGTTTTATTACCACTAAAACCTTCCAATACTTATACAATAGAAAATTTTTACTTTCAAGTAAAGCTCTAATGCTTCTGAAAAAAAAATATCTCCTTAATTAGAGCATTAACTAGCCTAAAACCAGCATAGAAACATCACAACCAAACCATAACTTCTCCTTACCTTCAGAGCTCAGCCTGCTACAAAGAGAAATAACCAATCCAAGAAGGAAAAAGAGGGGAAAAAAAAGGCATACCAATTGGGTTTTATTCTGTTTCCTCTGCAAAAGCAGCCAATGAACCTCCAGGCTTTAATTTCCCAGCTGTGAGATGGGAAAATTGGCAAATAAAGCTCTTTGATCAGGCACAGGTGAGGAGAGTTGGGGCTCACAAGGGAAGCTCAAAGCACAGGTTATAAAGGAGAAGTTGGTTAGAGGATGGTAGGAAAGATTTAATGGCTTGGAAGTTTAAAGGTTTTCTTTTTTTCTTTTCATTCCTTGTTTAATTTGTGTGCAAAAAGTTGGAGGAAAAGCTAAACTAGCTAGGGAGATGTATTGATGTGGAAATAATGGCTAAGGAAAAAAGTTGTTTGCTGCTTTTCCTTCAAGGTAAGTTAAAACCTTGGGGTTTCTAATGCTTTGGAAGGACTTCAAAATGAAGTTTAATTAAAATTAACCAAGTTACTAACTTTTTTAAGTCAAGCAAATGAAAATGAATAAAATGTGAAGTAAATGACTTTAAAATTAAATACACTTTTTATGCTTTGGGGAAGGGCTTGAGCACATGAACTGAATTTTTTGGGAGTAAAATATGGGGAAATATAGAAAGAAACATGTGGAAAGATTGAGCAAGAGTTACTGTGCCTAAAAC